AAGCCAGCTTCATACTCCCTGGTGACGAGGAAGCATAGAGCAGGCTTCCCAGCCAATCAGGAAGCCGGACTCGCTGCCCAGTTTCCCGACACCTGAAGTTCCTGTATTGGGATAAGCTTCGGGAGCATTTGAGCAAATACGAAAACTTGCCCAAATACTCGGAATTGGTGCATCCCTAATTTTGATATTTGCATAACTCCTCAGAAGATCCAGCCCTCTCTCTCGAGAGGTCTACTGACTCCTCCCATCAGCCATGAGCTGCCTGCATTGCACAGGGGAGGCACAGAGACCCAGTGATGACATTACTGGAACTTAAATAATGTATGCAATGAAAACAGAAAAGTTCAATGTAAAAATGTAATTAGCATGTTGATGAGGAGGTGAGGAGGAACGAGGGGATACAAAATCGAAGCAGCTATAACTTCAACTTCAGCTTTCGCCCTCCATACCACGACACATTAATCACAGCTTTGCTCATCTCTTCTGCGTCTATCAAACACTGAAGCATCACATCCCAGCAGCAGATGTTACCAATTAAGATATCATCCGCACACAACCAAAGTTGGCTCCCTAGAAGGGTGGTTTACTTTCCGCTAGCTTGTACATTACTCACCCTCCATATAACCATTGTCACGGTCCTGAGCGCAGAATTTAAAGCCAAAATGATGGAGAAAATTACAAGGGCCCGGAGTCTTAGACCCTTTTGTTCAGAACAGTGGCTATGACAAGGCTGGGAGCCCCAGAGGAGGCACGAGGCCCGTGGATCCAGTCAAGCAGCGCTTCTAATACCTTCGCTATGGCAGCAGAACGAGAAAACAATGTCCAGAGTCAGAATTTATTATTTTAATTAGTCACTCCGACTCATTAAAGTCTCGCTGGCAGCGCGGGCCTGGAAAATATAACCGAGGTTTTGTCTAACCCTGGCTTCAAATAACCAAAGGGATATACTGATATTACCGCTAGTATTTACTGCTAACCGTTCAATCTTTTCTTTTTTTTCCATGAGGTGAATTTATTTTTTGCCAGATTTTCAAAGATCTCACATAATTAACCCCGTCTGATCTTGAAGCGCTGGAAGAGCATGCCATGGTTTACCTGGAAGCACATGTCATGGTTTCCCTGAGGCGCTTGAAGAGCATGTCATGGTTTCCCTGAGGCGCTGGAAGAGCATGTCATGGTTTCCCTGAGGTGCTGGAAGAGCATGTCATGGTTTTCCTGAGGCGCTGGAAGAGCATGTCATGGTTTCCCTGAGGCGCTGGAAGAGCATGTCATGGTTTCCCTGAGGCGCTGGAAGAGCATGTCATGGTTTCCCTGAGGCGCTGGAAGAGCATGTCATGGTTTCCCTGAGGCGCTGGAAGAGCATGTCATTGTTTCCTTGAAGCGCTGGAAGAGCATGTCATGGTTTCCCTGAGGCGCTGGAAGAGCATGTCATGGTTTCCCTGAGGCGCTGGAAGAGCATGTCATGGTTTAACCAAGTCTCTCATACTGGAATATTATCCTACGCTTGTTCTGTTTGTCATCAGTATTGTATTTTGTTAATGTGTTTCCATGGATGGTTTAGGTTGTTCTTAGCTACACATTGAACCCAATGCAGCAAACATGAATTTATAGTTTCAAAACTGCGTACTGCTACTATACCTAACGGTGCCAACAAAATGAGCTCTTCATGGAAGAGTAATGGACAGTGAAACAAAATGGCTGCTGAAGTTGGAGTTATTAAACCCGAGCAGCCTATCCAACTTCACTGCTTAACTTCCAGCCAAAACTTTTCCTTTGGATAGAGCAGGGAAGGGTTGGCGCCTCTTTCAGGTGTCCCTGTGGGGAAGATTTCCCTTCATTTACTGTTAAGACAGTGAAGGTGACACTTTTCTGTCAATGACTACTGGGGGACCCCATTTGGAATATTCACAGCCACTAGGAGGATGGATACCAGGAAAGAAGAGAGCCTGGTGCCTCCTAGTAGGCATCCTTCTGGACAGCCAGCCTCAATTTAGATTAGTGCCCTAAGGCCTCTCATTACCACATCCTATAAGGTCTGTGGCTGGAGTTGTGGGTGGTTGTAGACAGCTGTGGCCAGGAAGCCTGTACAGCCTTGAGGAAAAGAGGGGCATGATTGAAACCTTTAAAGAAGAAAGTCGGGAATTTGAAAAACTTACCCTTGCAGTGGGCCCACACCAGCACTGCAAGGGTTAAGTGCTCATTTTCTCGAGGAGGCTCAAGTGCAAAAGATAAACTCATCTGATGCTCGGTCCCGCAGTGGTCACAGCTCCTCTATCTCCCCCTCTGCTCTGGCTGTGGATTGTCATTCTGCATCCTCAAGTGTAATGCAGGGCAGTGGACCTGCATTAGACATGATGACATCAGCGGTCCTTAGACCGCCAGAGCCCAGGGAAGAAGAGGCTGTAGGGACCAGGCTAGCGGAACCAAGGATCAGGCAAGTATATCCGCTTTATTTGCACCTTCTAGACAAAATGAGCAATTAACCCCGGTGTTCTATCACAGATTGTGACTGCGTTAGAATGTGTGACCAGTGACTTGATCACACATTCTAATGTAATTTTTTCGGCGGGGGAATGTTTGACCGGTCACGTGGTCAAACATTCCAACGTAGTCACACACATTTTTTTCCAAGGTAAAAATATGTGACCACTCGCAAAGTCGGATAGAAGTGAGATTTTGGGACCGAGCAGCTGTTCCAGGGCAGATCGGTTCTCCTGCACATACCATCTGTGATGCCGATGTGCCCGGGAACAGCGGCAAAAGCTTTGAATTCCACACCTTTTGCCGGTCACACATTTTTACCCCGGAAAAAAATGGGCATGACTATGTTAGAATCTGTGACCAGTGACCAGTGACGGGACACGCATTCTAATGCAGTCACAATCTGTGATAGAACACCGGCAGTGCAAAATGTAAAATTCCTGGAGCTTTCAATAATGTCCCCCTTTCCTCGAGACTGTACATATTACATTTTAACAGTTTCTCCTGATATGTTTTATCTCCCTGACCTGGCCCCATTGAAGATTACATACTGCTTGCAGATTCCCAGGTCTTGGAGATTTACTGCAGCACCAAGTCTTCCACGCCAAATACTACCAGGCATCGGGTTCTGGAGGTCAGAAACCAAAATGTATAAACAAAAGTAAAAGGAATCCGGATTAGGCATCCTGTCTTGTGAAAAATACAAATACCATCATGTAGTGCCAGCCAGACAGATAGGGAATGCGGACACTAGGGTTGCACAGATACCAAGTACAGTACTCGGTACAAGTACCGATACTTTTGAGCTCCAAGACTGGACTCAAAAATTAGAAGGCAGCTGTCATTTGTAAGGAGCACCCGGAGCTCCCGGCATTTGTACTTCATGTTTTAATGTACAATTTTGTTTTTATAAATATAGGGATGCACAGATACCAGTTTTGCGAGTACGAGTACTGGTACTTGCCCAAGTACTGATACATTATTGTTTATGGTCATGTGACAGTTTTTCTAAAACCATACAGACTAATGATTTCAGGACAGAGGTGGAGTGCCAGAGCCAGGTCCCAGCTGCAACCGTTGCAACCCTGGTAGTTCTCATGAAAATGCCAAATATCTGCACTGGTACTCGAAAAGTATCTGTGCATCCCTAGCGGACACCCATGCTGGCCACACACATGGCAGTTTTTGGGCAATTTCAGCACTTTTAGCCAGTTCTCAATCAAAAACAGCAGCAGAGAAACCAAAGGCCGACTACCCCTTTTTTGGGGATTACAAAAACCAGTGCAATTATGAATATTGCCCAATTACTCACACAAGTCACTTTGTCTTTGATGGCTCTGCGGACAAGAAATATGGCAGCTCTCAATATGTTTTTCAAGTCATCCTTCGAGATGGTGCTTGATATGTCCGAAAGCTTTTTGTACACGGCCAGTAAGGCGTCTTCTCTGTATGACCACGTCTTTGAGTAGGCTCCTGCAACCTAGGAAGTAACAAACACAGATGTTAAAAAAAAAAAAAAATTGAAAAATACTTTGAAATTATGTATTATATATTAATATTTATTATTTTTTCTTTCTCAAGCTGAATTGAAGTAAATGACTCACAGCAGTGACAGCTTAGTCTGAAGTTGCAGTCAAAGTATTGCCTCAGGGCAGGCTGCTACTGCTCTGACATCTTCTTGGATAACCAACGGTGCTCTGGGAATACTTTGTCATGTATCAAATTATTATTAGTGAAACAAAGATCATGGATACATATATTGAAAAACAAAAACTACAGTTTAAAAATGTGTACACTTAAGAAAATAACTAGAACCAAAAATTGGGACGCTCAGATACAGTTTTTTTGGTATCGAGTATAAGTAGCAATATTTATCTTTTGGTACTCGCTGATACCAAGTACCGATACCGGTACTTCCGCTAGCATGGAGGCGCGTCATTACGTTCCGCCCGGCTTCCTGATTAATTAGGAAGCCAGGCTGCCTAGCAACAAGTGAAGCCCGCTTCCTAGCCAATCAGGAAGCCGGGCGGGGAGTCCTTACCTGCCGTACGGCCTCCTGATTGGCCAGGAAGCCGGGTCCATGTTCCCTTGTGGCACTGCCGTTCAGAGGAAATCTCCCCCTGACCGGAAATTCTGGTATCGGGGGTAAGTATTGGAGCATTTGGGCGAGTACGAGTACTGGCCCAAATACTCAGTATAGGCACCTATACTAGTATTGATATTGGTGCATCCCTACCCAAAATCATTATAGTCTTCCTTTAAAGGAGCTGTCCACATTCCGAAAAATGAGGACACCCCTTCAATGCGGGAGTAATGTCCTTTTGATACCAGCATGTTATTGATGTATAACCTGTTCTAGCTCAGCTGGAGTACTCAGTGTCTCCGTGTAGATTAGGAAATGCAGCTCCTGTAGTGGGGACATCTTACCAGCAACAGATCTGCTAAAGAATCCATCCATCTGCTCCAAAAAGGTGTTACTCCACTGCTGGCCAGAACACTGCAGAATCTTGCTTGCCAACAAGGGAGCAGAAACTATGCGACAACACACTGGTTTTGCAGTCCAGGAAGTGCAGCCATAGGAACGCACTTAGTGATCCCGCTGCTGGCAAGTTGTTTTCAGCAACAGGAAAGCTAGAAGGACACAAGGCCAAGTTAGAAAGCCTTTACCTTTGCAGACTCTTTCCCCTACTTCTGGATGGAGACAGGTGAACCTCATTTCTCCCGCACCTAGCTATAGGATATTATTAAAATGTCAGCCAATCAAAGCTGCACGTATGTATGCACTCTGGTGGACTGAGCGTCTCACCAACTTCTTATACAGCTCTCATAGCATTCAGAGGTGAGGATTCTGCACATTTGTTCCCATCTCTGGCCACACCAAGGCCAATATCATGAGGGCTCACAGTCCCTGTATTTTTATTTATTTTGGAATAGGTAGAATGCTGAAGTAGAGAGAGACTATGTGGCAGAAACCAGTAAAAGACTTACTATTCAAGTGTCCACCTATAATGTGTCCTCCTCCAAGTGTCCTCCTTACCATCTTGTCTTGAATTGTAATGTTTTCCTTATATTGTAAAGCGCTGCGCAAACTGCTGGCACTATATAAATCCTGTATTATAATAATAATGAAACTGACGAATGCACTGACCCGTTAAAAAGCGCCGGCCGTGTTCTGACTTGAGAGCTGCTGAAATTTCAGTACGACAATTTAAGTGAAATTTATTTCTTTGCTGTATTTGGTGGGGGAAGGACTGAAATATAGGCATTAAGGAGGGTTACATCAAATGCTCCAACATCTGTTCTGTTTTACAGACAGAGTTCGTGCCCTGCCAAGAACCAAGTGGTTATGGCATGAAAATGATTACCGTTGGCATAAATCTTTGTGGGTGCGTTTTACAGCTCTCACTAACTACTAATTTCTCCCGACTGCTTCAAAAAAAACTCAGGTGACTCCTAGATTTAGGAAGAAGAACTCCAGTCTAAGCAAAACCATTTCCCAAAGTTTCCAATACCAGAGCTATGTAGCCTAAAGCCAAACTCTGTTTTTTTTTTTTTTTAAATAACCGAACATTTTGTAAAGTATAAAATTCAGTTCTCACTGCAATACTGGCCTTGTTTCCAGTGCTGTCCCCTGCATAAAACTAAGCTCTGCCACTGATACTTTTCCAGGGTAAAGAGCACCCAAAGTCATTCCACTCACTTCCTGTGAGCCCAGGGCTTCATGGACTCACCCACCTAAAAGGTGCATCACCATGCATACCTGGGCCCACAATGGAACATCACTCACACATTATAAGTACCGGTCTATGCAGCGGAGGTCCCCCCACTGCCAAAGCTTGCCCCATGTCCTTTGAAAAAAGAAAGAGGCGCCAAAGCATGAGCTGGTCAAGTGCCAGAAACAGTGAGAGACAGAAGGCAAGCAGTAGATGATCATAGATTGGAGATAGAGAGTAGGATCTGATCTTGGACACTGTATATGTCACACTGAACATGTGATCTGATCATGGGCCATTATAGGTAAAGTGGGGTTAACTATGGTTTGGGGTAAAGGCAAGATCATAATGGCTGGCTGGAAAAGAGGCAGAGTGGTAAATGATGGTGGACAAGGAATAGGGGAACCATAAAGAGCACACAGAAAATAAAGGTGGTTCAGATGGAAGAAGACAATAGAATTTGTGTCCTTAAAAAGGAGAACTATGAGGTGAGTGCTTTTCACTCACCTCATAGTTCTAGCCGACCTGTGACAATGAGACTGTCACAGGTCGGCTCAGTAGATCGGGAGGTGAGCGAACACATACCGGCGTTCGCTCACCTCTCGATCCTGTCACGGCTCTCTGCCGTGACAGGGGAGGGGCTGGATTACCCCCTCCCCGATCCTCCAGCGCTGACTGGCGGAACAGACGAGGGAGGAGACTGGTACAGCTGGCTCTGCCTCTAGATAGGAAGAGCCATCTGTCACTCACGCAACTGGGCGGATCCAGACATAATTGTCGGGATCCGCTTCAGCTGTGGCGCCTCCGTATACTGGGAAGCTGTAGCTCGCGGTATACTGAGCTTAGGGTGACGGGAGGACGCTAGTTTGTGTCCTCCCGTTATCCTAAGGAGAACTATGGGGAAAAGCCCTAACCCCATAGTTCTCCTTTAAGCATCAATTTTTTATGCAATAATTTTTATTGGATTTTTACAACAATTAACAAAAGTTATTAAGAAGACATATCTCATTGACAGTCAACATAGTAAGAGATAATACAAGAAAAGTACACACCCACCTAGGGCATGTGAGAGAAAAGCACAAGTGGGATACTTACTAGACAGAAATTCAAAATCACTAAACAGGTTTGGAAATGACAGAATATTCAGAAGTACTAATACACTGGTGTAATTCCAAATGGAAGGCCAAACAGTTGGCTATTGCGGCAGACAAAGCTAAATACCAACAACAGGACAGCCAACAACACTAGGGGATGGTAGACGCAGGGAAGAACAAGATGGGCAACTGGAAAGGGACAGGGGTGCATCGGAACATGCATAATCAAAAGGTTGAGAGCGTCCCTACGAAAGGGAGGGGAAAGAAACGATCTATCCATAGTGTCCATATAGTGTTGTATTTATCCATTTTGTCTTCTTGACAAGCTGTCATTTTCTCAAAAAAACAGAGTATAAGACATGTTGTAAAAAAAGAGCCAAAGAGGAAGGGTGGGGGTCCTCCAGGAACGTGCAATCTCCCGCTTAGCAGTAGTAAAAATATGTTGTAACAGTTTAAATGGGGTTGAAGAGTAGCCACATGGCTTTCTGTTCAGGAGCACAACATAAGGGTCTCTCCGGATGGGAGACTTCATTACGGAGCGAATTATGTAAAAGGTCGCAGACCAACAACCGGGCAGGCCCAACAAGTATGGGCAAATGTGCCCACCACCTGGCAACCTCCGAAACAGTTCAGAGAACTAGAAGGGAGAGCTCTGAAAATTCTAAAGAGGACAAGATACCATCATAGTAGTCATTTGTAGTTTATTTCTAAAGCTAGGACTGTTGAGGATTATGGTTTTTTTTTAAATTATGTAAAATATTGCGTAAAATTGTATACATTTATGTTTATAGTGAAATGGCTGGACAAAAATGTATATACAAAAAGACTGGAAGACCGGAGAGCTGCTAAAGAACATAGTCTATTCAAGGGGTTGGTGAGAGAGCTGCCAGAGAATATAGCATGATGGCTGCCAGAAAACCTACAACAGACATACATTAGTGAAGAGGCAGCACAGGGGTGCATTGAGTATTTACTGTTGTGGACAATGGTAAGGAAATAATATGTGGTGGGGACGTGGACCTTGCTGATAAAAGAATGTCTCTACCAAGGTGTGGGAGCGATTGTGAAAAATGTGTGTGCTGGGGACTTGTCAGTACTGCAATACAAAACTCAAAAAGGCATCAAATCTGAGATGAAGTACAAGAGCTTTCCTGCGACATTCATTGTTGTTAGTAGAGTCTTCCATGACTGAAATTCTCATGTGCTGTAAACACCTGGTCAAGGCCAGGGGCGTCCCAAGGCCTGGTGCCACCCAGAGCGGGTGACAACCCGCCGGGACGCCATTGCACATGCGTGTGACGTCACCATGCGTGATGACATCATCGCGCATGCATGCACGCCCGTCTAATCGATGCCTGCCGGCGGCCATCTTGATGATGGACGTCGGCAGAGAGAGGAGGGGACGTTCACCCGTCTGACTGTCAGTCATTTTGGTGACACTCCTCCAATGGTGTCACCCGGGTGCGGGCCGAACCCCCTGCACCTCCCTTGTGGCGCCACTGGTCAAGGCAGAAATGTACATGGTACTGGAGTAACTGATCCGGACTGATCACAAAGATCTTACATTTAACCTCTATGCCCTGAGCATTTGCAGGAAATAAAACAAACGTCTTGTTTTGAGTGAAGGATTTTGTTTCAGTCCTACAGAATAGGCTAGGGTAGGCCTTCACTGGAAAGGAACTGATGTGAAATGATTCATGGATTTTGGCACCCTATAAATACCAGAAATAATGACTTAACCTTGTCCTAAACCAGCTTGATTCATGTAAAACCTTTATTACCATGGGACTTGCCAATGCTTACCAAAGCCTCGCCAAACACGTCAATGGCAAATCCGGCCTCTCTCAAAGCTTTCTCTGTAAGTGGTTCCGGCTCTCCAGTGATTCTGCTTCTTGGGGTGTCTGCTGCAAAATCGTCATTCATCTCTGGCTCCAGGTAAGCAAATGCATCCTCCTTCTGGTTCCTTTGGGCTGGAAGTGGTCGCTCATCATAAGGCAACGCATCGATCTTCGAATAAACACAGAGCAGGTTCTCAGGTTCAGATTACAGGTAATTCTTCACGTTTTAAAACAAAACAAAAAACTGTATTAAAATATAATGCAACCTACATTTATATTGGGTACAGTGACAGCTGGGGTCGGAGCTGGAGGAGGGGAAGGAGAACGCATCTGGGGAACCGGTTTGGGTGAGGAGACTTTAGGGGTCTTCTCCTGCACTATCTGCCGCTCCTTCTTAGTCTTCTTTTCCAAAGTCTTTTCCTTCTCAGGTGGTGGAGAGACCGCCAATGTCTGTTGCTGTTGAGGGCTTGAGGGATGCTCCAGAGACTCCAAGGAGGACTCAGGAGCTCGGTGTATCTTTAGAAGACACAGAACCAACAGATAACAGGAAGTGAAAGCATTTAACAGGCAACTCCAAAGAAAAAAGTAAAAAGGGATCAGAACTTGTAAATGTTAACAAAGAAAAATGGCTATAATGCTAAAGTAAAGTTAAGTGCACTAAATATTAACTTGTGCAGAAATGTGCAGTATAGATAACACTTTGCAAGATCACATGTACCACTTGCAGTTAGCTAGTGAGATCTAGACAACAGCATTACCGTTCACCAGGCTAACTTAAAAGAGAACCTTTTTTCCCCCATAGTTCTCTTTAGGGTAACAGGAGGGCATATACTAACCTCCTCCCGTAATCCAAAACTCAGTATATAGCGAGCTATTGCCCGCTATATACTGAGAGCGCTGCAGCTGGGACGGATACCGACAATACTGTCAAGATCCACCCCATTGGCCGATTGACAGCGGGCTCTGCCAATCTAGAGTCAGTAAAATATTCCATACTACAGCAGACTACCCTATATCCCCATGCAGAAGACGACTTCTTAATCCTATAATCATCGTGTATTGAATGTAAGGTCTTTGCCTCTAGCTGTGTAACTAGAGATCTTATATGCTTATCATTCCTCCGCTGTCAGTAAAAAGCTATTAGAAGTTAGAGAAATCACTTTCCTACATTATGAGAAATGCGATAGCGATGTGGGAGGAGGGTGATAATTCCCTCGGAATGTCCTGTTACATGAGGAAGCCTCTTGTTAACACATACAAGAAAACCGCAATCTTTGGGGTTGGACGGGACAATGGTGGCTTTCAGTGTGAATCGGAGAGATTAAATAGCACCTACGCTGTACAAGTCAAACACAGATTTACAGAGAGAGGAGATTCCTGTTTCATCGTGATAACAATCTGGTCTAGAAATCTACATTTTATTGTTGTAATAAGTGTGTAGGCTCTGCTGACATAGCAATTGTTCCTTACAATGTAGCTTTCATTGAGCTCTATGCCAAGAAGAGATTGCCGATGGTCCACCGAGCTGCTTGCAATGAAAATGAATTAAAATGGAAACTGAAGACTGCCGTGTGTTGAAGCTGAGAGCGTGCCAAGCTGTTTTGACATCCAGATTCATTTTATTAGTCCTAACGCTCTTAAAAACCAGCACGTTTCAGGGGTTCCAAGAGCCCCCCCTTTCTTACGGCTTAAAAGTATTAGACTGAGGAGGATCTGAATGGAGGAGTGATTTCTCTGGGCTTATAGTTTTATAAAGAGTGTATAGTCGGCTTTGTTCACTGGCTTCTAAGCCAATGACCAGAGCTCCTTACACTCTTGACTCTTGAATGCACCAAATGGGCAAAAAACAAGCTGGCTTAAAAGGTGAACCCCTCCCAAATTTTAAGGGTGTACACAGAGAGGTGGAATAACCAGTTTCTAATATCTTCATCACTATGAAGAATCCATGGGAGGAGAGAAGGAGAGTGACATCATGAAGGTTTTGGATAAACTTACCCCTCAAGTAAACATATGCCATGTAACTTCTGCTGTCATACAAGGAGCCCTTTTACCAGGACATGTCTACTTTTAAAGGTCAGTTTTCCATTGGCTCTTAGGGAACGTGCACCCTGATTGGTCAGCCGTTTGCTACAACCCTGAAAACTGCTAAACTGTAACTGTTATGTCATAAATAAAACAGTCTGCACACGCAAGCCTGCAATATATAACCACAGAACATACATACGCCATTCCCAGCTAATGCATACCGAAGCGATGTCCAGTAGATCATGGAGCTCCAACTGTTGATAAACTTTTTGACGATACTCTTCCATCTGCTGCTTTTTCTGTTTGGCTAAATCGTAATCTTCCTTCTCCACGGCACAGCGCTTTTCCACTTCATATCGGCCCAGCCGTTCACCCACCTAAAGACCAAAAGGTAAAACGTATCCATTTTGGTACTTATTTGATCATTTATTTATTGCATTATTCCTTCACTAAAAGTAGACAGAAGCCCTAAGTAAATGACATTTTGTTTGCTAAAGCACCGTGTATAATAAACTATGAGGGGGGGGTTTTTTTGTGTAAAAAAAAATAGGGGGGGGGGGGGGGGGTTTATCATAACTGGAGCAGACAGAACACTGATCCTTTATATTTCATTGTAGGAATTTGAGTCAGCTGAGCAAATATATCAAACAGTGGGATGAGGATAAAACGCTGCATATTAAGAGCTACAACTGGCGCAAATTCCTCGTTGCTGTACCACCAGCTATAAAATGTGAAAGACCCCTTTAACATTGCATCACAAAGAGGACCACGATCAAACTGGGTTAATCTTCTACCTTCTGCAGGTCAGCAATCGCTTGTTTCAGTTTCTTGGCATAATCGTAGCGTTCGTGGCGGACGGCCTCCTGTTTCTTCTCATCCAGCTTGCGGATTATTTGAGCTACTTCTGGATCTTGGTACATATCAAAGGCCAGGTCATCCAAGGGAGAAATTGCATCTGGCTTCCTGCAAACCAACCATCAAAATCATACAATTGTCAGACCGGTTTGTAAAACTGGGTAATTAAATGTCAATTCAATCTAAAGATATGATGGAATAAAATACAGAAGTAGAAGTGCAGCTCAGTAAAAACTGCATGTCAAAATGTTTAGAAGATCCAGAAATACAAATAACTGAATTTGTATGTAAATCTTAAACTTTTTCTGTAAAATTCGAGCTTTCTTCCACTATATTAATATTATTACATAGTATTTATATAGCGCCAACAGTTTGCGCAGCGCTTTACAATATAAGGAAGACATTACAGTTAAAATACAATTCAAGACAAGATGGTAAGGAGGGCCCTGCCCCTGAGGGCTTACAATCTAAAAGAGGAGGGGGAAATGATACATGAAGTAGCTGTGGTAGCTGTGGGAATGAATTATGTGAGAATGTGAAGGTTCAGTGGTTAGGTTGAGGTGGGATAGGCTTCCCTGAAGAGATGAGTCTTTAGGGAATGCCTAGAGGCAGTCAAGGTAGCAGATAGACGGACAGGTTGGGGTAAAGAGTTCCAGAGGATGGGAGAGACTCTAGAGAAGTCCTGGAGGCGAGTATGGGAGGAGTGGACAAGGGAGCTGGAAAGCAGGTCAATGGATGAGCGGAGGGGACGGTTAGGGTGATACTTTGAGACAAGGTCTGAGATATATCCGGGGGCAGAGTTGTGGATGGCTTTATAGGTGACTGTTAATATTTTGAATTTTATCCTCTGGGCGAGTGGAAGCCAGTGGAGGGGTTGGCAGAGGGGGGATGCAGACACTGAGCGGTTGGTAAGGTGAATTAGTCTGGCAGCTGCATTCATGATAGACTGAAGGGGGGATATCCTGTGTAGTGGAAGTTTCCCAAGTCTCCTTGACAGTCCTTTGATTGTGATTGACGGGCTCATTGTCCAGTCGGGAGGCTCAGGAGATGAGAGGGTGCAGAACAAAACTAGTCTAGAGTGCGCACATGTAATCCAGGTGTGTGATCTATACACTTATTCAACGTTCCAATTGAAGTATTTCTAAAGTCAAAACGTTTTGGACTGGTCAAAACACCAACAGAAATTTTTTTGGCATCTGTGCCCCAATGAGGAGATTTCCCTTTACTTCTCCTGAGCTGTAGACACAACAGGAAGTGAGAGGAGATCCCTTCAAAGACATCAGTTGACAACTCAAAATTTTAGTTTGCTCCTAACTTTTAGCTGCTGTCACTGTTATGGGCAGGTGTCCCTATCCACGAAGAGAAGGAAAGTCCTAGCGATTGCAAGAGGATACCCGAGAGGCAGCAGAGGGTACTGGCAGTAAAGCGTAGCAGGCTAGACAACTGCGCGGTGTACTGGAGGCTGTGTGAAGACACAGGAGTCACCAATGTGGACTTAGAGACCCGGGGCACACTCCGAGACGTGGGGTGCACAGGCCGCACTCGGAGACATGGGGCTGCACAGGGCATATTCAGAGCGATGGGGTTGCACAGGGCACACTTGGAGACATCAGGCACACCAGCAGACATGGGCAGCAGGAGAGCACATGAAAGACAGTGGTGTTTGGCATGGAGGACACGGGAGGTACTGGGTAATAGGAAAATACTAAAGGCATGGAGTGCAGGACGTTTAGCCCTTTAAGAGATCACCAATCAATAGAGCCATCTCCTGGTTGGCTGCGGTGCAGCACTCCAGGCGAAACACAAAATTGCCGGCTGCTCTGCGCCGGACCAAAGACCAGAAGCTGGTGTTTGGTACGAGTTTTGGCTTTAGAAATACTGTATACCTGTAAGTTTTTGTATAGTGTGTTTTGGACTGTTTTGAAAAAGACGTGGTCCTTTTATTGGAGATTTAGGGCCCATTCACACCACATCATCTTCAGCCCAGACCGTTTCCGGACCCAAAATGCATCCTAATGTATTCCTATGCTATTTCTGGCCTCTGTTCACACCAGCGCAGTCTGTTCCAGACCAGAAAAATACTGCATGTCTCATTTTGTCTGGAATGCAATAGAACTGCAGGCAGGTTCACACCATTTTCCGGTCCAGATCTGCTCCGAAAAGTATGTTTAGATGAAACTGACAACAGCCTATATGTGTTTGGCAGCTGGCCCAGTGAATGATGAATTGCAAACCAATAAAGAACATTGATTGATGGTTATCTGCTATTTCCACAAAGAGAATCAAACTGCCAAGCAACAACCTTTAAACAATAAATGAAACATTGCCGGTTTTATTACAAAGGAGTTTGAAGTACGTTTGTGTTATTTTGTTGTTGTAACCAACGTTCCTAGATCCTCTGATAAGCCGATGTTCTGTCCTCTACCTGAGTGCAGGAAGCTTCTCATACAAGTCAACATTCTGAAACTTGATCTTAAAGGGGTCAGTACACACAAATCATTGATGATATCTGATTGATCTGTTCCCTGTATTTTAAAGTAAATCTGCCCTGACATAAGTATGTGGCTGCCATTGCTGACCTCCTTCTGAAAAGTCTAGAGGTTGGATTTTATGGTGGCCCTTCTGGATCAACACTTTGTAAATCACTGCCCTATATCACATATACAAATCAAGAGTGCCAGAGAAAAGTCAGAAGTCCCTGTAATTCAGATGTAAGAGGCCAGTGTGAAGGCCAAGCAAGTAGCATTTTTAGAAAAGAGGTCAGACATAGCAGACTTCATGTTTCCCTCGTGACTGGGCTGACATGTTATATAAAAAGGCAAGAAGTTGTATGTATTAAAGGTCACATTCAGTTAAGTCCCAAACGTGTTGGTGAGTTTAATGGGCCCTTCTTCATTAGCTGTCCCCAGCTGGAGCTGTCCCCCGCAGTATATCCTTTACACCACTAGATGTTACCAGTCTTCTGGGTTGAATTAAAGTGTAATTCAAGCCACTTCCTCTGAGCCCAGACTGTCCTGCCCCCTGAGGGTCAGTCATCACAAGAGCCTGTCCTTAGAGGGCAGGTCTAGGGACAGAAAGCACTGCCTGGTGATAGTTTATGCCACCACCAATATGGCAGCCACCATGCAGCCTCACAGCACTGTGGAAGGGGTGACACAGTGGACCTGGTTAAATAGAGCACTTGCAAAATATCCGCTGTCAGTGCGATCTCAATTACTACTGACTCGTCTGACCTGGTTTGAAAGATATGGATGCCAAGTCTAGATTCACTTTAACTTTCTCTTCTTATATAAATGTAGGGCATAGCATTGCAAATGTTCTCTTACCCCGTATAAGCAGGATCAATGCCACTGTCTTCAAAGCTGTTTCCAAGGTAATGGTCAATAATTTTCTCCCGGCTTGGCTGGTGGTCAGAACACAAATAAGATATGCCGGTCAACAGACGGAACCAAAACAACAAAAACACTCTTATGATTCATAAAGTATGAAACATTCTCACAATGTGAGGCTGTCAATAGGCATCAAATGGTGGTCATTAACAGATTCAAAAAACACATTTGCGCTGCTTGAGTATGCACGATTTTGGACTTGAGACAGACCAGATCAAGCCTTAACCTGAGGAAGTAACAGCAAACACGCGATTTAAATGGGGGAAAAAAAATATTCCACCCGGGAGTGATCTTGCTTATGGTGTTATAAGCAGCAGCAATGTGAGAATTACCAAGCAGCAAAGGCCTTGTATGAAAAGCCATCTCTACCTTCTGTATGTGGGAACACTTTATGCAAATGACTCTCATATAGAGTCAAGAAGATCCAGATACCTGAACCCGATGTGAAAGGAGAATTATGGGGAGAGTGAAATACACTCCTCCCCATAGTCACACTTAAGCTGTCACAGGTCGGCTCGATCAATCGAGAACTGAGCGATCACACCACCGATCGCTCAGTTCACAATCTTTATCCTGCAGAGAGCGGTGACTGTCATTCACTGCTTTCTGCAGGGATTTCCCCCCTCCCCTGTCTGTTCCTCCAGCACTGACTGGAGGAACAGACAGGTAAATGTCCTCCTGTGATCCTAAAGAGAACTATGGCCAAAAAAGTTTTGCCCATAGTTCTCTTTTAAATCTCCATAATACGGGCCAGGGCTTAGCTGCCTATAGAGCGCAGCATACTTGAAAAGTGTTGCCTGATAATTCATATATGATGAGTAGTGTAGCTCCATCACTGCAAAATGCAGCACTGCAGTAATGGAGTTAAGAATGCCCCAAGTAGCTAGCATTATATAAAGGACAATCAATTGAGTTACACTATATGGTTACAAGTATGTAGATACAACTCTACATGAGTTCAGGTGTTTCCAGTGAAGGGTGCTGTTAATGCTACAGCATACAAAGACATTTTAGACACTTGTGCATTTCCTTGTGAAAACTGTTTGGGGAAGGCCCAGCATGACTGTGCCCTTGTGGGCAAAACCAACTCTATAAAAAACATGGACTGATGGGTTTGGTGTGGAGGAACACGAGTGACCTGCACAGTGCCCTGACCTCAACCCTACTGCACACCTTAGGCATTTTTCGAAGTAGAGGTCAGACATGGCAGCCTTCATGTTTCTCTCATGTCAGGTCTGACAAAGGCAAGAAGTTGTATTAAAAGTCACATTCAGTTAAATCCCAAATGTGAGTTCAACGGGTCCTTCTTCATTAGCTGTCCCTAGCTGGTGCTGCCCTCCACAGTAATTCCTTTACACCACTAGATATTACCAGTCAGTCACCCAGATATATGAATGGACAGAATATTTACCACATTTTCTTCATTAATGTCCACTGGGTCACCAATAATATTTATTGCAATCAGGGCAACCTAGGGATGAAACAGAATGACATTGACAATATTAGGGTACATGGAACACCAGACAACAGTCAAGTCACATGACACCTGATCATACCACATAATGTGCCTCGTGTATGACAAGAAATGTCTCTGCTGGTCATAGCAACCAATAGTCAGATGATCAGATCAGGTTTTGTTAGTATTTTCCCAGTGCAGGAAGGAAATGAAAGGAAGAATGTGAGCGGGCAGAGACTCAAGTGTTACCTGGTTATACAGATTATATCTGTTTGCGTAGTTTTTATGGAAGATGACTTTGAGATATTGCCCCACGGCATCCACATAGACAGACTTGAGTTCTCTCGCCTTGTATCCAGTCTTCTCATTATCTGAAAGAGCAACGTACCTGAAACAAGAAAACATTTTATTGCAGCAGATTCCCTGTTGTCACTGTCCATGATCTTGACCTAAGCAATTACAAATATCTAAGAGCCACCATTGCAATGCAGGGCTCGTCACACGCCTGGAGGTAGGAAGTAACAGGATGACATTGGTAAAATGGCTCCTGTCCATCATCTCAGCCTTCTCAAAAGTGTTATTTCAATTACGGGGCAGTCTGAGTCACACGGTGGCCCACTGTTTCTCTGGGGGATACCAGCAATGAGATCTCCCTGCTGCAGTTCTCGGCTTTGTTCCCACTTATTTCTGAAGCCTTGCTGTTCTTGAAGATATTAGCATCTCTCTTGTTGACTTTGCCATAAAAGAAAATGACTACTGTTGCTGTAGTAGATGCACAGGTTGTGGATACTGTAACAGCTGGAGCCACTGAAAAAAAAAAGTACCTTTTGTTTGGCATTCTTCCTGACAAATGGCAAAACACTTCCTGGTAGGGATGCACTGATACTAGTATCGGTGCCGATTGGGCGAGTACTCATACTCGCCCAAATGCTCCAATACTTACCTCTGATAGCGGAACTTCCAGTCAGAGGGAGACCTCCTTCTGACTGGCAGTGTTGAGAGAGCATGGAGCCGCCTTCCTTTCCAATCAGGAAGCCGGGCGGCACGTGACCACCCGCCTCCCTGATTGGCTAGGAAGTCGGCTTCACTTCTTGGTAGGCAGCGTGACTTCCTAACCAATCAGGAAGCAGGGCGGCACTTCATGACCCGGCTTCCTAATTGGCTAGGAAGCCAGCATCACTTGTTCCTAGGCAGCATGGCTACCTGACCAAAGTGATGCTGGCTTCCTAGCCAATTAGGAAGCCGGGTCATGAAGTGCCGCCCTGCTTCCTGATTGGTTAGGAAGTCACGCTGCCTACCAAGAAGTGAAACTGGCTTTGTAGCCAATCAGGAAGCCGGACAGCACCTCATGACTCGCCGCCCGGCTTCCTGATTTGTCAGGAAGCCAGGCAGCCTTGGCAAGAGAAGCCGGTGTGATCTTTTGCTAGAACACCAGCTTCACTGTTCTTTTTTTCCTTGTTCTCCTTGCAGCAGAGAAAGCTGTACATGAAGATGCAAAGTCCTGCCTACACCAATATGGCCGCCTCCATATAGATATAAAGAGCAGAACAATAAGTCCGTAATGAGAAACGATCAGCTGCAGGGAGACCTTTGGTAATACTGGTGTTTAGTCCTTTGCCCTCTGTCCGCCTTTCTTTTGGACACAGCAACTTGATTACACTTCCTCTATAAAACGTTCAATATTACCAAATGATCCTACCTCTGTTGAAGCACTTCCTGTTATAGAGCGACAACTGCCTCTCAACTGTACTCAAACCCGCCACTAGCTGACATGTCTCTAGTACAGGACAGAAAGGACATATCAGATTGTGTCACTCAGAGCAACCAGCCACTTCATCCCCCTTTTTCCCCTCCAGCTTCCACAAATAAACATGTATTCATATTCCCAGTGTGCACCTGAAAGGAACGCGTGGCAAGGATCGCTAGACATTAACCATCAGCCGGAAAAAGTCCGGCGGGAGATCACATCTAAATAAAGTGAGCCGTATCGGTGCCAGTGGGCTAAACGTTCCCAGCTGGTTCATGTAGGCATAGAGCAGAGACGGGAACATGAGAGGAATGAATCAGGATAATGGACTAACAATTGGCACTACTTGCTGCTAGAAATCACTTTTTCTGACTTAATTGTCTCCCCGAAGCACACTCAGCGAAACACTGAATTCCTTCATAGATCACCGCAAATCACCAATATGTGAAAGCCATAACGGCACATAAACGTGCTCGAACTCTGTGATTGAAAGGACTCTTCAAGTACCTCTTGGAGGCTATCCAGGCCCTACACTCCGAGGTGTCTGCTAAATGATATCGTCGTTAGTAGGACCAGACCAAAATATCAAATGCTCCCTGTAATAATAGGATATCATTCAAGGTGGCCCAATATATACTAACATGATTTCTGAAGGGTCAGTGAACCCATTTTCCTGCCCTTATAGCGCGTATATAGCCAACACTTTTTTTCTCCAAGCTTGCCCCTGTGATGGACTACAATCTCAATACAAATGAGTAAACTAATGTAAAGCAAATATGTTGCGCTCGGTCTATGTGAACCAACTGCACACTAAAGTGTTAATAAACATTTGTTCACCTATACACATTGTTGCGGCTGGTCCAATCAGGTAGTTAGGCACGCATTCCCAGCGCAGTGATTTCTGTGATATAAATGAGTAAACTAAAACATGAGATTGTAGTCCATCACGGGAGCGAGCTTGGCAGCGGTGACTACTTTACAACACACACAGGGACCATGGGGAACAAAAAGTAGCCCCCCTCCAGAAGGAAGGAAAGTGTCAGCACCAATTCAGAGAGGATTTGAGGATCTACAGCCGAGTGATACATGAATAAGATACATTTCTGTTAATAGTTAAGGTTTTTGAATGTATTTTTAAGATTTAAAGCCTGAGTTTAGGGTCACTTTAAATCTAACTATTAATACTATGGAGATAGCAATGGTTACATTTATATGCTTATTCCCTCCAGTGGTCTCTTAAATTGTAACATTAAAAGGAGAACTATGAGGTGAGTGATTGTTGGAGTGATTTTCACTCAACCTCATAGTTCTAGCCGACCTGCGACAATGAAACTGTGACACATCGGCTCAATAGATCGGGAGGTGAGCGAACACATACCGTCACTCGCTCACTTCTCGATCATCCTCCCGCAGTGAACGGTGACTGTCAGTCACCGCTCCTCGCAGGGATTCCCCCCCTCCCCTCTCCGATCCACCAACGCTGAGTGGAGGAACGGACGGGGAAGGGGCGGGCACAGCTGGCTCTACCTCTAGATAGGCAGAGCCAGCTGTCACTCACGCAGCTGGGTGGATCTCGACAGTAATGTCGGGATCCGTCCTGGCTGCGGCGGTCTCAGTATACCGCGAGCTGTAGCTGGCTACATACTGAGCTTTGGGTCACGGGAGACGTTAGTATATGTCCTCCCGTTACCCTTAAGAGAGGTATGGGGAAAAACACTTACCCCATAGTTCTCTTTTAATTGCTTCACACATGTGGAATAGGACAAAGAATTCTCAGAGAACTAGTTTAGATATTGCTCAATGTTGTATGAAAGAACACTAGGCCACTACACCTCTTGCTGCCTTCTGCACTACGTCTCTTGGGCAAGGCCTTATGGCTAAGACCAGGGGTCATTTTTTTTATACACCGGCCCTCAAGGCCTAGCCAATGTATTGCACTTTTTTATTATTATTCATTCTGCGCACTATCACTTTTTTATGTGTGTACTTTACACTCCACAGGATGAAGGGTGTGAGTCTGTGGACCTACCCTGAAGTCTAGGGTGAGGATGTGTGATCATCAGCTTCCTTCCCTTTGGGAGAGCCCCCAATCCAATACTTGTTGGTCGGCTTGAGCTGACCATGAGAAGAGGAGACCGACTGGCTTCGGCTAGGTGGACTAGAGTACTCTGCCCCTGTCAGAATCCTTGTGCCACAGGGGGGTCAGGGAAGGGCGTGATCTCATCTGTGTGTGTTCACAAGTACTTTTATTTTGTAGCTTACTCTATAAAAGGGATTTTTTCAAGTAAGCTTTGACTGTATTATCAAAAACAACTCTATGTATTCCTATTATAATGCTGATGTTATAACAGGAGAGGATATGCTGGTTTTTTTTTTAAATTTCGGTAATTTTTCCTTAATATAGTAAAAAAATAAAACCCCCAGTGGTGAATAAATACCACCAAAAGAAAGCTCTATCTGTCCCCAAAAAAGGGTATAAAATTCATTTCAGTACAGCGCTGCATGACGCAATAAATGTCAGTCAAAGTACCGCAGCGCTGAATACTGAAAAATGGCCTGGATGGGAAGGGGGTTTAACACCGCGGATGTCAACTGGTTAAGTCTGAGTACAAAGCAGATACACAGCGCCCTCTAGTGGTGAAACAATGAAATGATATTCTTCAGCCAGCAGGCGACACACATTGAAGGCAGCCTACCCGAGCCTGCGGAATCGTTCAGACTGGTATGGAGTGAAGTACTCCGGAAGACTTTCCGAAATGTAAAACTCGATCTTGGAGGATATCATGTACTGGTGAGCCAGGAGCTGCAGTTTCCGGATTCGGCATCTTTCCACCATTTGGATGACAATTTCTTGAGGGTACTGACAAAACCTGGAGGAGAAAAGAAAAGGAGCGTTCAAAACACAGGACTACAAACCCCGCGCCATCAATATGTCTTCTCCGCGCTATGATAATAAAGGAGGATACCAGCCAGAATGATCAACACGGATCCAAAAATAGTTTTAAAAAAAACTAGCTACTCAAATTCAGTGTCCTCCGACTCAACCGGAATGGTAACCAGTGACGACCTGCAACCCAAATCACCGAAAACAAGGCCGTCATAACAATTATTGCAGTCCGGTCAGAGCTTGTCCCTAGTCCACGGGAACCATTCTGTCCTTATGGTCAGGCTATGCTCCTTTGTGTTTGTCAGGCTGCTGCTGAGGGGTGTCCCCACGTCCAGACTCCGTGTCCAGCTCTGTACCATGTGACTCTGTGATGACCAATCACAGCAGTTACAGATTTAAACCGTGTAGTGTTTACATCTTAGACTCCTCCCCTTCCAATGGAGGGACTTATGACAATATGAATCATTTATTGGTTCCTGATTGGCTGCTGCAGATCCTGGGTAAGGTTTCCTGTCCCCCCCAGTGACTTGTATTCTAACCCTTCACCTCCCTTATCCTGCACATTAACCCCTTCATCTCCCCCCTCCATGTATGACCTGCACATTAACCCCTTCACCCCTCCTCCCTCTGCTTATGACCTGTACATTAACCCAGTGGCGGACCTAATAACCAAAGGGCCCTGGTGCAAGATTTTATCTTGGGCCCCCCCTCCCAAGACGGCTGTCTCTAATGTGGCAGTAGCATGCTGGAATTACCCGAGACCCTGCAGAGCACACCATAGGTCCTGCATAGCCCACCTGAGACTCTCTATGGTGGGATCTGCAGGGTCCCAGGTGGGCTGGCCTGGTCGTCGGGATCCCTTTCCCTGTACCTCCTCCCAACTCTTCTTACCTGCTGCTGCTGGGGCCCGGTGTCCTCCACCCCCTCCCCTGACACCTCTGCCATGCTGCCCCGGTACAGTTGATACCCATGTAAGAGGCCCCCCAGACCCCTCACATGGGTACCGGCCATACCCCCTAACACTGGGACCGTGCACTGCCCCATATTGCAGGACCGGACCCCACTGAGGCTGTGGGGGTGCCCAGGACCTGACCCCACTGGGCCCCCCCATAGCCTCAGGCCCCCGCACCGGCGGTAGTTCCGCCACTGCATTAACCCATTCATCTCCATCCTCCCTCTATATGTGACCTGTACATTAACCCCTTCATACCTCCCCCATAACCTATACATTAACCCCTTCACCTCTCTCGGAGCATGACCTGTACATTAACCCCTTCACCTCCATCCTCCCTCTGCACATGGCCGGTATATTAATGATCTTCTGCACCATAACCAATCTCCGTGTTTTAACCCGCTTAGTACTGACATGTGTCTTCATTGCCAAAAAATTGGAGTGTCTACTTCCCAAAAAGGGGTCATTTTTGGGGGTTTCCGTGCGTCCCGGAATTATTATTTGCTGTGTTTTATGTGTTTTTCCACAATAGTTGGTCCTTTATATGATCCCAAAAAACCTCAGCACTACGGTCCCACCTTTTCTCTTTAAGGTCACAGGAGGACATATACTAATGTCCTCCTGTGATCCTAAACTCAGCATATAGCAGCCTACTCCCTGAAGAGCCGCCCGGCAGCCGGGACAGATCCTGACAATACTGCCGGGATCCACCCCGCTACCTGATTGACAGCCTGCTCCACCCCCTCCCCTGTCTGTCCCTCCAATGAGCGATAAGGATCGGAGAAGGGAGGGGGGATCTCTGCAGAGAGAAAAAAAAAAAAAAAAAAAATCAGAAAATGAGCGAGCGACGGTATGTGATCGCTGACTTCCCGATCAATAGAGCCGACGTGTGACAGCTTCAGTGACACACGTCGGCTCTAATTATGGGGAGGAGTGTATTTCATTCTCCCCAAAATTCTCCTTTAAATACCAACAAAAGAAAGCTCCATCTGTCCCTAAAAATAATCTAAAATTAATGTGTGGAGTGTTGTGAGAAATTGTCAGATTATCACAAGTCTGAAAACTGAGAAATGTCCTGATAATGATAGACACAGGCTGCTATATACATAAGGATATATACACAGGCCGGTATATACATAGGGATATACAGGCTTATATTCCAGGAAGCCGGCTTCCCGGCCAATCAGGGAGGTGGGTCATTACTCGCCGACCACCTTCCTGATCGCATGGGAAGTCGGCTCAATGTTTCCCCATGGCACTCCCGGCTAGGGGAAATCTCCCTCTGACCGGAAGTTCTGGTATCGGGGAAGGTATCGGAGCATTAGGGCGAGTACTCGCCCAAATACTCGGTATCGGCACCAATCCCAAACTAGTACGAGTATCGGTGCATCCCAGTTATAGGAGATGTAGAACTTCGCACCGTACCTGGGAGAGCGCCAGCCGTTCACCGTCGGCGCGTGAATCATCAACTCTTTGGCACTAAAGGCGTCCTCATGGCCGGAGGAGCTGACCACGAAGAATCCAATTTTATGCGGCATCCTGAAGACCTGCAGAACGGACGAGACGGCGGCTCATAAATAAGAATAAAAACATTGAGGTCACCACAGCACCACACCCCCCACCATGCTCTTCCCCGTCCAGAATTATGAGGTGCTGCCCCTGGAGTGTCTTGTTGTTGTCTGAATTGTGCTCCGCCCCCATGTTCATTCATAGATCCACTGACAGGGGTCTATGAATGAGAATACTACAAGCCTCATCTGCCACTGCAGGAGAAGGAATCAGATCACTGATGTCAGTGCACTTGTAGTCCATTGTTACTTCCTCCAGGCCAATATTGGTAGGTTGGTACGGACCCGGGGCTGGGGTGAATAATATATTGCATCTGGGATGCAATGATTGTGGTTTCTGCCGGATCCTTCCTATACTGGGAGTACCTCCATCCCTCCTATACTGGGAGTACCTCCAATACATCCCAGACCGTCTTCTGCAATGTCACAGACATTTCTGGAAGGTTCTGCACATTGTTCGAGAATTATAACAGGAGAAATGATGGTAACACAGATCGTCCTACAATCAGTAAATGTGATGAGTGATGGCAGGCATACTCACCGCAGGCGATGCCCCGGGCACCTTACTGTCTTATGCTGGCCGCAGGGTGTATGCGGTGTCCTCAGTCTCAGCAGCACACACAGCGCCCTCTGTAGTGTATGAATTATTCCCAGCTATACAGAGAAGTCCACAGGACACAGCAACAGGCCGGGTGACACCGGGGACCTACCCCAGTCCCCAAATCTCCATAACCACCGCTTGACAACAACCGCCAGCCGACGAGGTTTGTGGGAGCTGTAGTCCGGAGGGAAACACCTGATGGCGTCACTGCGCAGGCGTGCTAGGTATTCAGGACGCACACGGCGCTTAATAGGTGTGCGTGCCCTGCGTAAAGCCTCACCAGGTACTACGCAAGCGCGCTGGGTGTACAACACGCACACAGCGCTCAATTTGTGCGTGAGTGCCATGCGTAAAGCCTCAACTTAGCATTGCGCAAACGTGCTGGGTATACAGAATGCACGATACGTTCAATGGGTGCGTGCCCTGCGTAAAGACTCAACCTGCCAGTACGCATGCGTGATGGGTATAGCGCCTCAGCCTGTCAACAGTAAATTATAGGGAGGACAATGCGCATGCTCCAATCTATACTTCACTGGCTACAATGTAACAAGGAGAGGAAATGTTTATCGTATTGGTCTGATATGGGCGGCATGGTCTCCTCCCAGTCCCAGAAACATATGAAAATATTTAAAGCCAGGACACTAAGCAGTGCTGATAAATATGGGGTGGCCTGCAGGAACCTCAGGGAGCTGAAGGAGAAAGGGTGGAAGAAGTTCCAGGTACAGGCTGTGTGGCGCTGGGGGTGGTGTGTGTGGCAGTGTCACGGGGGG